TTTTTTTTTTTTGAGACAGGGTCTCACTATGTAGTTGAGATTGACCTGGAACTCACTACATAGCCCAGGCTGGTCTCAAACTCACAGTGATCCTCCTGCCTCAGCCTCCTGAGTGCTGGAATTACAGGCGTTCACCACTACACTGGCTCTTGTCATTTCTTTTAGACTCCACATATCAGGGAGAACATGCAATATTTGCCTGTCTGAGTGAGGCTTATTTTGCTCGACAGCAATCGTGTCCAGATCCGTCCATTTTCATGCAGATGACAGCATTTCGTTCTTCCTTATGGCTGAACAATATTCCATTGTGTACTGTGTGGTACATAGACCTCGTTTCCTTTATCCATTCATCCGTTCTTCTTGAGGCTTGTGACTATCAGGGAAATTTCCCCTCTGAGAAATTTGTGAAGAATGTTTCTTCTGGGTTGCCTTTCGGTTTTGCTCATGGTGGTTTTTACCATGGAAATTTTTTCTTTACATTGACCTAGTCACACGGATCAGCCTTTTCTTTTGTGGTCTTGGGTTTGTAGCACACTTAGGCCCCTGTTTACCTCAGGCTTTTCTTCTTTTAAATAACAGCTGAGGTGTAATTCACATACCTCTCAGTTTGCCTGTGCAGTGGGGAGCGGGCTAGTCTAAGATGGGCTGTGGAGCTGGACTGCCGTGACACTTTCCTGCCCCCTTATCTCACCAACCACTACCCTCTGGAGCCCCCCACTTCCTCCCCAGTGGAATCTGCTTCCTGTCTAAGGCTCTGCATTCTGACAGCTCCTGCAACTGGAATCTACCAGGTGCAGCCTTTGGTGACAGCTGTCCCAGACACGTTCCTCCCTGTGAGTGAGGCACCACTGTCTGGAAGCTGGGCTGCTTCCATTCTGCTGTGCTGATCAGTGCTGCCATGGGCATCTGTGGCTGATCTCCTTTCTCTGGAGTGAGTGGACTTTCTGGGAACCCCCGCAAACTCTCTGACTTCCAAGCTGTTCCTGGCCCATGTCCACGAGTGACCTCTGTGGCCCAAGGACTGTGTTCTCTGCACCCTGCTCTCTGTCTGTGATTCTGCCTGTCCTCATGGGTCTGCAGTGGTGGTCACCACTGTCTGATCTGCAGTTCCCAAAAGCCAGTGATGTTGAGCATCTTTTCTTCTCTCTCTCTGTATTTATTTATTTATTTTTTGAGACTGTGTCCTGCTATGTAGCCCAGGCTGGCTTGAACTTGAGCCCTTCCTGCCTCAGCCTCCTAAGTAGCTGGGATGACAGGTGTGCACCACCATGCCTCTGGCCTCATTGCTATTTTTTGATGAACTGTGAAAAATATGTAGACTAACAGGGAGGTGTAGTGTGCTTTTCCCTCTCCCTGTGTCGTGGTTGGGGCTTCTTCTGTATTTTTAAGAGCCTACAGCATTCTTCTCCACAGACACTTTGGCCGTGTCTTACTGTATCATGTCTTGGGTATTGTGTCCAGTTGCCACGCATAGGAATCACTGGTATTTGTTCCATCTCCCTAAAGGACCAAGATTTCATATAGACAAGCTGTGGGCGTCAGAATTTAGTCTGGCAGTACCCTTTCCTGGGCAGATTTGCTGCGTGTAATTTCTTTCCTTTGGCTTTTCTGGTCCTCAGAACATAGTCGTCCTGGAGGGCACAATTTCTGTTGGGTGAACCTGGTAGGGGTCTTCTGGGAGAGACCTCTGTCAGCCTGAGCCCCAGGCATCGCAGAGGCAGGAAGGGGCTTGGTGTTCTTTGGCCCTGACTTCAAGGCTTTGGGTGCGGCCAGGCCTGGCCCAGCTCCTTGGCCACCCAAACCGGGGTCTCCAGCCTGAAGCAGGCTTAGGCTCACACCTGTATCCCTGGCTGGACGCCCTCTTGGCATGGCCAGCCTGCCCGATTCGAGGGCCTCTCCAGTGGGCCTCCATGCCTTGCTGCTTTTGCTCCTGGTCCCTTGCCTGGCTGGGTCTGGGGGCTGACTCTTGGCCATCTCTATGCCCACTGTGTGCCTGCTGCCTGGGCTAAGGTTGGACCTGAGAATTAAGTGAGATGGGCAGCAGGTACACGGTGGGGCTGGGGCCGGCTCTGCAGGGGGACGCTCAGTGATAAGTGGTCTCGGGCAATGGAAACTGGGTGGTGTTGGACAGGGCTCAGTGCCATCGAGGTGGGGCCCTTGTCCCTCTCCGCTCACTCAGATACGGTGTTCAGGGACAGTAGGGGTCCCTCCAAGTGCTGGCCCAGCCCTCAGTGCCCTGAGTCAGCCCACCACGCCCTGCAGCCGGCACAGACCTGGGCCTCCCTGCACTCTGACACCATCTCATCCCCTCTCTTGCAGTTCATGGCCTCCCATGGGAACGAAGCTGCCAGGGCCACATTTGAGTCCAAAGTGCCGTCTTTCTACTACCGGCCCACATCTTCCGACTGCCAGTGAGTATAGAGAGGCTTTGTGGGGTCACTGGGAACAGCACTGGGAGGACCAAGCAGGCGGAGGCGGCGGCCTGGAGAGCCTGGAAGGGTGGCTGTGGCCCTGGGATGCCACCCGCCTCTGCTTCCTCTATCTGCCTTTGGGCTCTGTGTATTCTGTGTGGTAAATGCCACAGGGCTCCAGCCAACCCAGGGTCAGCGGGCTCCCTGGTGGAACCTGGAGAGTTTTAGGGTTCTCCTGGGTGCCCCCTGGTGACCTGAGAGGAGGGGTCAAGACTGCTGTCTGGCATGTGGGCCCCTGGCTCTGCAGAGGGTATAGACCTGGGTGCCCCTGTCTGGACACCAAGGGCACCAGACAGGGGCACCCAGGTCTGTCTGCCTTTGGGCTCTGTGTATTCTGTGTGGTAAATGCCACAGGGCTCCAGCCAACCCAAGGTCAGCAGGGAGAGTGAGGATCAGTTTGGACCCTGGAACTGGGACTACTCTCTGAACCTTAGTGTCCCCATCTGTCCAGCCAGTGGGAATGTGATGTAGAACCAATAGCCAGCACAGCTCTGATGGCACTGTGCCCTCCTCCTGCCCACAAAGAGCCTCTGGGCTCCTGCCCCCAGTTCTCTGTCTGGCTGGGTCACCTCTTTCTCCCCCTGTGTCTTCCTGGGGGAAGACAACTCTCCCAGCATTGGCCAGACTTCGCCTCCCACCTGGAACACCTCGGACTCTTGGCCCAGCTCTGTGAGGCCCTGGGAACTGAGACCCTTCCTCCCCAGCTGGCCGGCTAAGCGCAGCCCTCCTTGGCTTCTCCTGTTGCAGTTCCCTGTGGCTGGAGCACTTGGGTGTATGACTTCTGGGAGCCTGGCGCAGGCAATCAGCTCTGGACAGCTTGGGATGTCGGGTGAGGGTGCTGGGGCTCCAGCTGCCATGGGTCCCACCTGTATCAGGCACAGAACCAGGTGGGAATATGGCCCTGGGCCACCTGGTCCTTCAGTGGCCTGGGCTTCCGTGGGACCCTTCCCATACCCATGGCTGCTCCTAGGGCCTGGCCTCCTCTTCCCGTTTCAGCTCCTGGCCATCTCCTGCCCTGGCTGCCTTCCTGGGCTCTCTCTCCTCATCACTCATCAGCTCCTTTTCTCTCCCTAACCATCCAAGCCTCCTCGCCAAGCCTGTCCCTGCTCTCCCAGGCTTTCCCACCAGGATATCCATGTTCCCTTGTCTTCCCAAAGCAGGGGTCCCTGGGATGGATCAGAGCCCCTCCCCTGCTGGCTGGCAGCCCCTGCTGCTTAGCCAAAGCATGGGTTCGCAGGGCTGTACAGCTGCTCAAGCCAGCTCTCATGACGTGCTATTCCCGGGGCCCAGAGGGGCTGAGCACCCTTCCCAGAGAACATGGGACCAGGGACCCCAGCCTGAAGTCCACATCCTGTGGCCAGGCATGGGCCGCCCAGACAGGGTCAGGGGGCACTTGGCAGGCGGGGACCTAGTCCTCAGCCCCTGAGTTTCTGGGCAAGTTGCCCAACCTCCCCAATCTTTCCCTTTCTTGGAAACAGAGTAAGAACTGGATACCCCTCCGGGTGGGGATGAGAGGCCACTCTCCAGGGCTCCAGCACCTCCTTCCCAGGCACAGCTTCCAGTCATACCTGGGCCCTACCCAGGTGTGTTCAGCACCATTCCTTGACTGACTCTGTGACCCCAAGCTCCCTGGGGCCCCAACCGCAGCAGTACCCTGTGTCCTGCATGTTATTGGGTGCACTGGGTACTGTGTTCCTCTGGGTGTGCTACTGTGTTTGCATGGTGCTGTGTCCTGCTAGGCACAGAACTGCATCCCGCTGAGTACTGTGTCCATTGGGTACTCATCCCCCTGGCGGTAGTACTGTGTCCACCGATACTACGTTAGAGCAGGACCTCACACGTCTGCCTCCAGGTCCGCAGGAAAATAGCCCACTCCACACAGAGAGCCTCCATAGATGCCACCTTGACCCTGACCTGCGCTCTGCCAACCTGGGAGGGTGAGCTCCCTGAGCAGGGCACGCCATCAGGGGGCTGTCACTGGTCTGCAGGAAGCCTGGAGGTGGGGCCTCCAGACAGGGAGGGGGCTGGCTGTGGCCTGTGACCTCATTTGTTCCTTGCTGAAGACACTCACCGTGTGTCAGGCCCTGCTAGGCTCTTGGCAGGTGTCTTTGGGAAGCCTTCCGGAGCTGGGAGCTGGTCCAGCTGGCCCCTTCATGGGAGGGGAGGCTGAGACCCTGGCTTACACCTCACCTCTGTGCATCCCCCTCACCTGGCTGCCCATGTCTTCAGGGCCCCCTCCCCAGCCCCTGGACCAGCACCCCCAGCCTTCCACCCCCGCAGGCCTCTTTGCAGCTCTCAGTATGAGTCAGGGTGCTGGCTGCATGGCTGCGCAGCTATTTTGGGGCATGATTTTGTCACCACTCTGCAGGCTACTCTGTAGCCTGGTTGTCTGCATGAGGGCTTCCCTGCACCTCTCGGCCTGAGCGGGGCCAGAGCACACGCAGGGCAGGAGGACAGGGCCCTGGAAGCGTAAGCTGTGGGTGCTGTGCAGTGGTAGGAGGTGGAGGACGTTCGCACTGTGGAAACTGTAGAGCACAGTGTTGGAGGCGGGATGTTTGAGCACAGAGAGCTGTAGGAGTGAGGGCGGGAGCTCTGTGACTGTAAGGTGACACCGGTGTGAGTGCTGTGCATACTGTAGAGCGCTGAGGAGTGGCAGGGCAGTGCAGAGGGCTGGCGCTGTCAGGTGAGTGGGTGAAGGCTCCAGGCTGCAGCCAGGGCTGGTGTCTCGATGGCCAGGAAAGAGGCCGCTGGACCCCAGCATGTGCACCTCATCAGAGCCGATGCCCAGGGCAAGCCCACAGGGAGGGCCCTGCCAGGATGTCAGTCAAGGTAGTCCCCCCACAGTTGTGGCCCGCCCAGGGCATGGCGCACATGGCGGCAGCTTTGGCAGCCGCACCGTCCAGCCTTGTGCTCTGGCCACAGTGGACTCAGTGAGAAGGGCACTTTCCTGGTGGCCCATTCCCTGCCATCCTGGCGGGGGCGGGGGAAGTCCAGGGCATCCACTTCTCTGTGTCCTGGAGCCCACAGCCCACCAGGCTTAGGTTGGAGGTGCAGGTCCTCTGGTATCTAGTGGCGTCTTTGTTGGTGGCTCCTGCTCTTGTATCTGGAGAGGAGCCAGTTCTGGGAAGCCCTGGTTCCAGCTCCTCTACCCTGCTTCCAGGGTGCACAGAGCATGCTCCATGCAGGACTGGCACTGTGCCTGCCTCCTGAGGCCTCAGTTTCCCCAGGTTCAAGATGGGGAGAATGGGGCCTACTATAGGGTCACCTGAAGGGCTCTGTGGGGTCCCCCTGAAGCTCGGGAGGAGGGGTCACCCCACGTAAGCCTTAGCAGCAGAAAGGCAGGGTCTCTGCAGCCCCAGCCCCAGGCCCCTTCTGTGTGGCTCTGCCCCTGGGGTTCCTCTCTCCACACGGGCGGAGAACTTACCAGCACAGCTCTGCTCAAGGTGGCTTCCCCACAGCCCCACCCGGTGAGTCTGGGTCAGGCCGGCCCCTCCCGAGTCGCTGGCTCACAATGGCCATCTCTGCTGTGTGCTCACAGTGTCGCCCCTCTGTGTCTGGACCATTCTTCTCATTTGTGAGGACACTGGTCACACAGGCCTGGGGGTCCACAGTGGCAGGCCGACTGCAGTCCCCACTTCCCAACAAGGCCACATTCTGAGGTCCTGGGGTTAGGGTGCCTGTTCAGCACTCTAACGGGGCACAGTTCAGACCATAGCAGCCCCAGAGGTGCCCTGGGTGACAGGGCAGGAGACCTGGGGTTTTGATCCGGGGCGGCGGAGGTAGAGGCTGCACGGTGGTGCTTTCCCAAAGTGAAAGGGAAAAATAGATACCACCGGCCTGGGCTTCCCCAGAGTAGAAGGGTGTGCTGGCCGTGGCGTCATGTTCTTTTTTCTGTTTTCTCTCCCTTTCTCCCTCGCTTTTCTTTTTCTGCACTACTGAGAATTGAACCGACAGCCTTTGCACTGAGTTACATCTCCAGCCCTTTTTTTTATTTTTTATTTTGAGACAAGTTCTTGCTAAGTTGCTCAGTTACCCAAGCAGGTCTTGAACTTGCAACCTCCTGCCTCAAGGACCAGAATGCTGGCATGGGGTCACTTCCTGGAGAGCCGAAGCCTGACTTTCCTGCCTCCTGGCAGGGTACTTGTGACAATGTCCTAAATCTTATGGTAGAAGCCAGCAGAGGGGAGGGGGGCTGATGTTCATGGGGAAAACAGGGTGCTGCCCCTTCCTTGGCACAGAGGCTGAGGTGTGTGCAGGCTATGAGGGCCACCAGGGCCACCCAGCAGGTATGGAGCCAGATGAGGCCAGGCCTAGGCATGTGAGGAAGGTGCTCTGGAGGCCACCTGGGGGCAGTGATGGCCAGTGGGCTCCAGGGCACATCCGACCTAAGGACATGGCCTCAACAAGCACCTGCCCAGCTCAGAAGGGGGGTGAGTCTGGCTACCTGAGTCTCGGGACATGGACAGACCCCAGGGAGTGGATGGGCAGGGGCTTTGGGGCCTCTAGGTGGGTTTCCATTTCTGGCCCCTGTACACTGTGCCCACTCGGTCACCATCAGGCAGGGTGCTGGCTGTGGAGGTGTAAGAGGTGCTCAGGGAGCCCCAGGGTCAGGGCAGGATCCAGGTTGAGGCAGGCTCCGTGGGCACCTGACCTTGTCAAGGTGGTGATGGGTGGGCCTGGAGACCCAGGGCAACTGTGTGTGGACTGCACCCCTTCGGCATGGGGTGTCTTATATCCAGGTTGCAGATAGGACCTGGGGGGTGGGGGACCCGCAGCAGCTGTGTGTGCCCCACGCTGTGCTGTGAAGCAGTGTCTGCAGGGTAGTAACTAGAATGAGGAGAGCTCGCCTTGGAATAGGATGGGGCCCCACCGCCGGCTGGTGACTTCCTAAGAGAGAGGAGAGGGACACTGAGAGACACACATGGCAGGGTTGGAAACATTATGTCTGTGGCAAGGAGAGCCCCGACAGTAGAGTGACCACTGGTGTCCCCCGCCTCCAGAGACCTGGCCTGATGCCCTCACCCGCACTCAACCTCCAGACAAAGCAGCTGCATCCCTGTTACCTCGAGCTTCCCGCGGGTGATGTCCGTGATGATGGTGGTCTGCTTCATGTGTGCCAGAAGCAGCAAGGCCGCGGTGGCTCTGGGGACAAAGCTAGGATGTAGTGTTCATCCAGTACTTCTTCCTGGGGCCCCAGGGTTGGGGTGAGCTTGGCTGCCCTGTGTTCTGAGGCACCTTGGGCACGAGCGCTGGGACGCTATTTCCATCTGACCAGAGGGCTCGGGGGAAGTGCAGTGAGGCGGTGCCCACCAGAGAGGCTGAGGGACGGTGCCAGGACCTGGGGTTTCAGAGCGAACTGCAGGGCTGTGGTGCTGAGGTCACAAGATGGAGGCCTCCCTGGGTGGGACACTAGACCCTGCTTGGGAAGAGGAAGCCCAAGGTGGAAACTGAGGCCCAGGTTGGGCAGCGGGGTGGGGGAGGCAGATGAAGCTGGGGTCAGACAGTGACACTGTCCCCAAGGACTGTATGGGGACATTGGAGGCTCCTCATACCTGCCTTTGGTCTGAGCACTGGGAGGCAGCTCCTGGGGAGACGGGAGTCCGGGAAGGAGCCAGGTTGTCCCTGTGGCAGTTGCCAGAAGCTGCTCACCTCCTCTGGGATGGGAAATGTGGGGATCAGGGTCAACCTGCCAACCCTTCCTCTCTCCGCAGGCTCCTGCGGGAGCAATGGGTCCGTGCCAAGTACGAGCGGCAGGAGTTCATCCTCCTTGAGAAGCAGGAGCCCTACTCTGCAGGTGAGCCCGGGGCGCTGTCCCCACCCCTCACAGAGCTGAGTCCCCCTCCCTGTAGCTCCTGGTGGTCCCAGGGCTGAGGCCACCCCAGGCCAGGTGGGAGTACAAGGGTCAGCACCCTGCCACAAAGAGGGTACAGCTGCCTCCCCTGGGTCTGCTGGGTGCCATTGGGGTCCCTAGGGCATTGGAGCTTTTGTAGAGCTGTGGAGAGGACATCTCAGGGCATAGAGCTGCCTGGGGGTCCTGGATACCTGACCCCACCCTCAGCCTCAGTCTCCCCAGTACTCAGTGGCCCCAGGCCCACCCTGGATCTCATTAAGGTCCTATGTCCAGTGGACTCAGCCTGGCTGGGCTAGAGGGCTCCGGACATCGGGGCTCAAGCGTCTCTTCCTCCCCAGAGATTGGAGATTGGGAGGCCTCACCACCATAGAGTTGCCAGGGGGCTCCTCTGCTGGCCTTCACTGTAGCTGTCCTGCCCAGTCCCCAGAGGCCACCGCTTGCCCTCCTCCTGTGTACCCTCAGCCTGGGACCTGCAAAGATGCCCCCTACCTTTCCTTGAAGGCCCAGGTTAAGTCCCCTGGGGCCAGGCTGGGGGAGCCCTGCGTCAGGAAACCTCAGCACTGCCTCACCCTAGCATGGCTCTCAGCTGAGACCCGTACAGGGACAAGCTCAAGCTTCAGAAAGGGAAACCAAGGCCAGGGAAGTGACAAGGCCTGGTTTTGAATATTGCTAAAGTCAGCACTGGTGGATTTGGGAAGATGGGACAGAGGAGCACCTGCTGCCTGGGGCCTGCCCCCTCTGTGGGGAGCTGTCAGCCTGGCCTCCTGGCTGCTGACCTCAGATGAAAGCAGCTGTGCCTGCTCCTCAGCATCTGGCTGAGGTGCAATGGATCCCGAACTCTGTCACACCAATGTCCATGCTACCCCATGTCCACTGCTACCAAGGACTGTCACTCAGACGGAGGAGACAGAGCTGGCACATACCACAGCATGGACACTGAGCCAGAGGAGCCAGGCTGGGAAGGCCATGTGCTGTGGTTTTGTTTCCATGAAGAGCCCAGGGCAGGTCATACCAAAGCCGGAAACAGATCAGTAGCTGTGGGCACAGGGGAGACTCCAGGTCCCTTGTGGGTGATGAAGATGTTCTGGACTAGCCAGAGGCACTGATTGTACTGTGCCAGGGAGGTAGGATGAAGTAGCACGGAGTCACCTAAAACACCTAAAATGGTATTTGGTGACCATGATGTCTCACGTAAGCCAAGAGGACACGGAGCCCTTGCTGCCCTGGTACCAGGCTGGTCAGGGAGCCAGGCTCCTTATGCCACACTCTTGGGGTCTCTCCTCCACCTCCCTGGCTCTGAGAAACCATTGAGGCATCTGAGTGGGTGAGGCTGGGAGCAGGACGTGGGGGTGTAATCTGAGGCAGGACAGTGGCACCCCTCCATTCTGCCGTACAGCTAACCCAAAGCCCAGGACAGTGGCCACGTTTGTGAGGTGGCCCGGATCTCCCGGCAGTGCTCTGCTCATGGCGGTGGGCATCTTTCCTGCCCTTCTTCTCAGAGTGGCTGCCTTGCTTCAGTGAGCAGCCACCCAGATGCAGATTCACTCTCCTCATGGCTAGGCCGTGTGTCCACAAGAGAAGGAAAGAGCATGTCAGGCCTGTGTGACACCCTGGGGCCCGCCTTGCCTACACGCAACCCACTTCCTCTGGGACCCCAGAGCAATGCACTGGACTTGTGGAGCAGTCTTGGGTGTCCTCGGGGCTCGTATCCACGCAAGCCTTCGTCACACCTCCCTCAGACACATTGAGTCTCCCGCCCTAGCGACCTGGAGCTCCTGGCCCTCTGTCCATCCACTGCCCCATGCGCCCCTGTGGTAGCCCCTCGGAGTGACAGGGCCTGTGGGGAGGCTAGACACAGGGCAGTCACATGACCAGTGACCTTCCCTGCATGGGAGATGATGGCCTGTGAGACCCTCCCTGCCTAACTCCCAGGAGCAGAGCCTGTGCAGGGGCCACAGGCGTCTCTCCCTGACCTACAACTGTCCAACTGGCTTGGTGCCCCTGTACCCAGACCCCAACTATCCAGGCCCTGGTGGATGCATCAGATGCTCCACCCCACCCCCAGGAGGAGGCTTCCACCTGGGTAGTGGGTTGAGGCCTTGGCCGTGGGGAATCTGGTGATGGCACCCGGTGCTTGCCACAGAGCACTTTCTCAGGCAGTGTGGTAGTGCCCCGCCCTGCCTGCTGCTGTGAAAAGCAGAAGTCCTTTGTGGAGAAGGAGGAAGTGCAGGGGTTAGGAAAGGCACCTCCAAAGGAGACCAGGCCCAGGACTATAGGAAGCAGGTCTTCCAGCCTGGCCTGGAATGAGCCAGAACCTGGGGCTGCAGGGTCAGGAGGCCCACATGCTGTGCTGGGGTTAAGGTCGGGGGTATTTTTTTTTTTGTACTGGGGTTTGAACTCCAGTCCTTGTGCTTGCGAGGCAAGTGGCGGAACCACTGAGCCAAATTCCTGGCCTAGGTGGGAGGTATTGTCACAGGCTAGGACCCTGGCCACCCTCTGGGGTACAGCAGGACAAGGATGCCCGGCCTGTGTCACCTGCTGAGCAATCTTGACCAGCAGAGCAATGGCTGGGACTCCCATGTCAGGGCCCAGGAGACCAGGCGCTCCTGGTGGCTGGAGCTGGACTGACTTGAGGATTAATAACCTGTAAAGATAAGTATCCACTGTCTACACCAATTAGACTCAACAGGGGAAAAGAGGGACAGCTGTTCCTTCCAGAGAATTCCAGAGCTAAGTGCTGAAGAAATGAGGGAGCAGAAGATCGCCGAGGCAGAGGACAGTGCGTGTGCACAGACTGACGCCAGACAGGCACTCTGGAGAAGCAGCCGCCAGCCTGGCCCAGAGACTTCCCCAAGAGGCTGCGGGTGACATCAGGTTGGAGGAGTCCCAGGATGTCCCTCACTGTGTGTCAGCAACGTGGGCACCTGGCCAGCACAGGGAGAGCCACACTGCTGCAGAGTTCTTGTCACCTCCCCCACAGAGCAGCGCTGACCCGGTGACAGCTGCCCTCTGCCACACATCTAGGTCACAGAACCCACATCGTGAGAGAGACATCAGGGGGTTGAACTCTCAGGAGAGGGGCACATCATGAGGCCTGTTATCTTCTATCAGGGAGCCCCAGCTTCCGTCCCGCTGTGGTCTTGGACTGGTGGTGACAGTGTCACGCAGTCACCTCTGCAGTTCACCCCCCTCAAGTGTCCAGCATGCTGAGTGGTGCTGACTTTCACGGCCTGGAGGAGACCCCGACCTGGCCAAGCTGCTCCTGCTCTGTCCCCACAGATGACCAGATTGGATGGTTCATGATGGAGGCAGGTGACAGAGGCCCCTGCTTCTAATTTCCATCATGGAGGACAATGTTTGTCCATGCTGTAGCATGTGCTATTTTTGCAGCTCTCCTTCAAGTCTAAAATTAGCCCAAAAGAAGATCAAACAGGACTGTCTTGTGCTGGATGGAGATGCCAGACGGCAGGGGTCCCAGAATACTAGTTGCCACTGACTGCATCCTGGTACACTGTCCTGCAGGTCTCCAACTGGACCTCTTCTACTGCTGGAGCCCCATGGAGCTGGAGGTCCCCACGGCCTATAGCCACCCACACTCTGGGGGTGTCAGGCTGCTGTCTCCACCCTGCAGCAGGGAGCTGGGCAGGCCTAGGGCCTGAGCACATCATGCCCCCAGATGGGGCTTGGGATGGTCTGATTTTAGGGAAGCCAGCACTGTCCACGGTTGGACAAGGAGAGGGGCCCTGGGCAAGGGGTCAGGCAGCCATGAGTAGCCTATGGAGTCTCACACCCTGCCAGCCACAGGGGCTGCTGGGAAGGACTGTGCCCCAGGTATGGGCTTCCCTTTCCTGGCTGGGGCTGAGGGAACAGTTGATGGGTTGCTCCAAGGGTAGACTGGACCCTGTGGTAGGTCTGGGGGTTCTGAAGCCCAAAATATTTCTATCCCCGTGCAGTCTGCAGACCTGGAAGCCTGGTGGCACCACGCCCACACTATAGTATAGAGGGGTCCTTGCCTGTCCCTCCCAGGCCCTGCTTTCTGGGGTGACCCTGTGACAGGGCCCTGCTCCCTCCCCAGGCATGCCTCCTTGCCTCTGCTGGGCCTCAATGGTGGCCTTTCATGGGCCAGACAATGCCCACGCTGTCAGGGATCAGGCACGGCTTCCTGCCCACAGTTTAGCCAGGTCCTTGGAGTGTCCCTCCCGCCCCCCTTCCCTCTTCTTGGCTGACCACGGACCCACCCCAGCTGCCTGGTTGTACTGGATGGGGATGTCCCAGGGTGGCTACCTCCCCCAACCTTAGTCTTGCAGTCCCAGGGGAAATAGGACCTGGGTGAGGGACAGGACCCTGCCCAGCTCCCGTTTCCCCGGCCATGTGGTGGGAAGGGCCTGGAGGTGGTACTCACACCCATCCCACTGTCCCTGAGCATTGGGGAGGGCTGGGCAGTGACCAGGGATCCTGGGCTGTCCGCCCTCAGGCCTGTGAGGTGCTGAAGTTGTAGTGTGGGGCTGTGTGGCTGTGTCCAAGCTGAACTGGGCACAGTGGACACATCCAGGGTCTTGTTGGCCCATAGGCCCATCCAGGTCCATCCAGTCCTCCTCCCCTCGAGTCTGTCTGCTAGCAGAGACCTGAGACCCAAGGAGGGCCACAACCAGGATGCGGTGTCAGTAGGGGCTGTGGGCTGGATGGTGAGCCCCTGGCTCCATATCTACTGTGTGACTGCAGGGCCAGGCAGTCTGGGTCCCTGGCTTTGTGGGAGCCAAACACTAAGGAGACCTCCGCATCTACAGCCAGCTCAGAGGACGGCCTGCCATGAAGCTTTGGCCCTTCTGCCATCCACAGCCCTCTTCTCCCCAGACCTTTAATTTCACTTCGAGATCCCAGCTGGCCAGTGGCGTGGGCTCTGCATCCTCTGAAGGGTGGGTGCCTGTTTTTATCATCCTGTGGGATGTGGAAGGGGCCCAGAGGCCCTGCCTCAGATGGCAGGGACAGAGCCCAGGCAGCTGGGCAGCATCAGGGAGGGGCAGAGCCCAGCAACCTCACAGACTCAGCCTGTGGCTCCCGGAGTCCCTGAGGCATGGCTCGAGTTCTGGGTTGATCTGGCATCAGGCAGCAGTGGTGGGAAGCCAGAAGCCAGGTTAGGGGGACAGGGCCTCCTCAGGTACCATGTCCATTGTCCATGGGGCAGCCCACTGGCAGGAGAGTCGGGGGCTCCTCACCTATCCTGCAGGGACCTCCAAGGGCCCAGGGCACAGAAGGTCACACTGGCCCTCACCAGACGCCCAGCCTCACTGTTCCCCTCAGTGCCAGGCTGTGCGGGTTCCCTGCCTTGGTTTCTAAAATATAATGTGCAATTTATATACATGCGGCATGATATGCTTTGCATATCCTATTCAGAGTGCAGTTCTGGGAGCTGAGACAAATGAAGATGGAACCCTAAAGCTTCACGCAAGCCCTTCATGGCACTCGCCACTGGGATCCTGCCTGCAGCTCCCCGGCCGGCTTCTCTCACTAAGCCTGCAGTCGGGCTGCAGGTTGCTCTCTGTGGCATAAGGGAGCTGCTTGGTATTCGGTTCCTAACTGAGGGACATGAGGTCATCTCCATTTTGTGTGGATCAAGAGTGAAGTCACTGGGAACATTAGTGTTCAGCTACTGCAAGCATGGTCTTCCCTCCTGGATTTTTACCAGGAAGCTCTTGTGTTTGTGTAACAAACCACCAGCCTGAGCCTGTCATGGTGTTGCAGGCCAGTAATCTCAGCACCCAGGAGGCTGAGGCAGGAGGATCTTGAATTCAAACCCAGGCAAGGAAACTAGACACTTAGTGAGACCCTATCTCAAAATAAAAAAGGCTGAAGATGTAGCTCAGTGTGGAGGTCTTGGGTTCAATCTTCAAACTTCAGTACTGCCCAAAAAAAAGAAAGAAAAGAAAAGAAGTGATGAGCCTCCCTTTGAGGACCCTGCCCTTCCGTCCCCGCAGCCCTGCAGGATGGCCATGTGAGGGGCTGTGCCTGGTGTGGCTGCTGTCCCTGCACTGGGTGGGTCATGGTTATGACTGATGATAGAGAACCATCACTGGGTTGTTGCCATCTCAGCCTTTTGTGGTGTGGACCCCGCTCCCTAGAAAGTGATCCTGGGCCCAGCACATGGAAGGAGTCCAGTCCCTGTGAAGAGAGAACTGCTCGACCTCTGCTCCGGGCCAGCCGGGCATTAGTGGGTGGGCCTCTGGAGTAGGGGTGTGAGGGTCTGAGTGTGGCCCTGCCCTGCTGTTGTGCCCTTCACCTCTGAGCCACCTGCACTCCCTGTCACCAAGGAGCCTAAGGTCCTGAGAGGTAGCAGGGTGGGGTCCAGCCAGGGACCCTGGCCAGCACTTTCCAAAAATATCACTTGAGTTGCTGTCACAGTGCTGAATTGAAGCTTTCGGCAGCTGGCTGTTGGGAAGGGCAGATGGCTGTTTGGTGCCCTCTGTCCTATGGCCTTGAGCCACGTCTGGACCTTGAGGGTCCTAGGGTCCTGCTCACAGAGCCCCTTAAGGGTGGCAGGGGACAGCGGGAGCCTACACCCAGGCCCTGCCCTGTGCCTGCTTGCTCCCTGAGGTGCTGCTGCCATCTGCTGGGCATTATGGGTATGGCAGGGCAAGGGGCTGGCATTTACCAGGCTTGAGTGCTGGCCTGGTGTGCTGGGGGCTGTAGAGGGGCCATGTATTGGTTCCTCTGGTCTGTGCCCTGTTTATCTGCTAAATGGCTCATTTACAACAGGATGTGCCTCAGGGGTTCTGGTCATGAGATGGTGTGTTCAGTGTCACCCAGGCCCTGCCATCTGTGTGACCAAGAGGTGCAACTGAGGACACTGTTACCCCCAAACTCCCTAGTGTCAACGCGCAGCCAGGCAAGCACCATCCCAAAGTGGCTGGGTCCTGACACTGAAGCAGACAACTGGGCTTCTCAACCCTGACCAAGCTAGGTGCTCATTTAGCCAGTCAACAGACATTCCAATTTGGCCCAACTTGGACTGCAGGACATTTGATGGCTAGGGGGAGGAGGGATACAGGCACATGTTAGCCTCTCCACGGGCTTTGGAGGTGCCATGGCCATTGAGTCGTTGGGGGAGGGAACAAGCCTGGCTATTTTCTGAGATGGGGCGAGGGCTGTCCCCCAGGGCGCCAGCTGCCCCTCCGGACACCAGGCTGCCGCCTCTTTACAGCCGTGTGTATCAGACAGCAGAGAAAACAGTGCCTGGTCTCTGGTGCCGGACCCAGTAGTGCCTGAAACATGGCTCTGTGGCTGCTGGCCAAGGTTTCCCCACCTCACTCAACCTTGTGGGTGGTGACACCTCAGGACACAAGGGCAGTGGAGGGAGGCGAGAAGGCCTCAGCCCAGGGTCCCACGGTGGCCCAGAGGGAGGCACAGGGACAACCCTGGAGGGCCCTTTCCATCACATGCGGGGCCACAGGGCAAGAGCTGCAAAGGCAGGGCATGAGAGGAGCAGCCCTGGAATAGGCAGAGCCTGGGGACACCATGGGTGGCAGGGGATGGGGGGGTCCCTCTGTTCTCCCTCCTTGGGTGACCTAGGCCACCTGCTGCCCCTCCTCCCCATGTCTGCAGAGCCTCTGGCGGGAGCAGGTGGCTGGCCAGCACCCGTGGGAGTTCACGGCAGCAGGATGACCTCACTCAGCCCGCCAGGGGGCAGTCCCTCCCTGTCCCCTCTTCAGGCTGACACCATCTCCACTCTCTCTCTCAGGGTACCGCGAAGGCCTTCTCTGGAAGCGAGGCCGGGACAACGGGCAGTTTTTAAGCCGAAAGTTTGTGCTGACGGAGCGAGAAGGGGCCCTGAAGTATTTCAACAAAAATGACGTGAGCCAGGCACAGGCGAGGGTGGGGCGTCCTGAGGTGTCCCTCGCCTCCACCCAGTGCCTCTGGGGTGTCGGTCCCTGGATGGGAGCCACCCCTGGGGACACTGCTCTGGAGGGAACACCCCCATGCACATAGTGGGATGCCACACCCACCGCTTGGACCAGGTGATACTGGGGACACGGTGGGCAGTCTCTCCCTGGTGGGGATGCCCAGGCCCAAGGCAGACGGACAACAGCTCAGTTGGCCACCTCCCCACCTAGCACACACGCTGAATGGCCCTGGCCCAGTCACTCGCCCAGGCCATTCGCTTCCGGCCCCAGCACAGGGCAGCAGTGGACATGGTGACCTCAGGTGGCCTGGTCAGGTACACTGATGTGAGCCCTGCTCTGCCACACCTGTCCCAAGGAGGAGCATCCCAGCCTGCCCTCAGCAGGACTTGTGTTGATGCCCTTGCTCTAGGACCCTTGGTGCAAGAGGTCGCCCCCTGGGCTCAGGCGCTCTGGCTGGGGACCCCAGGGCCTGCCCTCCATCATCCATTCTTCCAGGATCCAACAAGAGCATCCTGGGTCCCAGGGCTATTCTGGGTGATGGTGATAGAACCTCAGTCCTCATGCTCCTACCCAGCCTTGGTAGTGGGTGGTCTGCTGGCATCTGTGTCCTCACCAGGGCTGGGGTGGCCAGAGTACCCTGACTTCAGGCCTAGCAGAGTGGAGTGGGTGGGAGGTCCTGGTCACATGGGTCCCCGGAGCAGGAGGACCCCGAAGGACCCCGCTTGCCTGGGGCAGTGGTCTGGGAAAAGGAGACTGCACTGGCTGAGCAGGGTCTCTGTGAAGCAGGCATGCATGACGCATGGGTCTCTGCCTGGCTCCTTGTCCCTGTTGGACCTCAGGGCCATACCACAGATGGCACATTGGCCAAGGCTCTGTAGAGGGAGGGCAGATGGCACGGATGCGGACAGAGCCCAGAGGTGGAGAGCACCACGGGGCCATTTAGTCTCCTCACCCCCAGGGGGGTGGGCTCCTCTTTGCTCCTAGGAGACAGGCTTGGCGGGGTTCAGTAACTTGCCTGATCCACACACCACAGAGGCTGCCTGCAGCCACTGTGTCCATTCTGCCCTCAGCTGCACGGCAGGCCCTGCTCTGGGCTCAGAATTATCCTGTTTTTCAGGCCAAGGAGCCCAAGGCCATCATGAAGATCGAACACCTGAATGCAACCTTCCAACCAGTTAAGATCGGCCACCCCCATGGCCTGCAGGTCACCTACCTGAAGGACAATAGCACCCGCAATATCTTTGTCTACCACGAGGATGGGAAGGTGGGCGCGGGTGCAGGGCCAACCTGGTGGGTTCCAGCCCCTCAGGCCCTGCCTTGTAGCTGCCTACTATCATCTCTGGAGTGCAGGAGGGCACCCCGCAGGCGATGGGCCTGTGCTGTCCTGGGCTCCTTGGCCCAGGGGCCGTCATTTTTGTCAGAAGCGTGTGGGGCAGGGCTGTTCGGTAAGACTGGGAAGCGGCGTCTGCAGAGGCCGTGCTGCGGCAGAGCCATGTCGGACAGCAGCCATGTCTGTCAGCCTGCAGCACCTTCCCGTGCCGCATTCACGATGCCCGTGACTGTGACTGTGGCCGCTTTCCCTTCCTGCATGCATGCTTTTTTCCAGGGTCACAGTTGGGTCCCTGTGTGGACACTGCACGTCTTGTCATGGGGCCGGCCTTCCAGGGCCCGGGCAAGTCTGACAGTCTGCCACAGCGTGGAGGCCGGCTGACTCTCCCTCCTGAGCCCTGCACAGCTCACGATGTGGCTCAGACAGTTCTGCTGTAGTGGCCTTGGGTAGATGAGGTCAGGAGCATTTCCTTGATCAAGTGCTGCTTCTCTCCTGAGTACTGTCAGTCAGCAGTGCTCTTAGTTCTTATGTCCATCTGGCTTCTATTCTCATTTCTCTCTTTTCCCTCCCTGGGAAATTCCCTCAAGTGCCCTCTGATTGTTCTGCTCTCACATTCACTGTGCTTTGGTTTTTTGAGACAGGGTCTCACTATATAGATCAGGCTGGCCTTAAACTTGCAATCCTCCTGCCTCAGCCTCCTGAGTGCTGGGATCACAGGTGTGTACCACCATGCCTGGCTCCAACTTTTACCCTTGCAGAGTCCTTTCAGTTCCCAGGCAGTTCCTGTTTCAGGGCTGTTCTTGTTTCATGATTATTCTTCAAGGCTTTCTTATCCCTGAAAAGCATCTTAGTTTCTTAGCTGCTGGTTCCATTTGCGTGGCCTGCGGTCTTCTCTGTGGGACATCTCCCTGCGGTCCTGGGGTCTGGGGCCCAGTCCCTTCCTCTAAGGACAGCTGTGGCTCCCTCCTGTGCTGTGGCCAGGAGAAGGCTGCAGGCAGGGCAGTGATGTCAGCAGACACCCTGGGTAAGGCAGGCAGGCTTGGGCACCCAAGCGAAGGGGTGGGGGTAACATCCAGGTGAGGAAAGCACCTGTGCAAAGGCCCTTGAGGCAGTGGATGGCCTGCCTCCCTCACAGGGTGGTGTGGAGCCAGGACAGAGATGTCAGGCCCAGAATAAGGATGTCAACTCCAGAATAAGGGGCACTGGATAAACTGGGGCTGGGGCAGTGGCACATGCAATCTGCGCTGCTCCAGGCCACCTGGCCCATGCAGCCAGGGCACATTGGGGGCTGGCAGGAAAGGACCAGAGAGGGCTGTGACCTTTAGACAGGGAAGCCATGATACGATGCCGAAGTCAGGCGGGGGTGACAGGCAGTAAGAGGCCAGCGTGTGAGTCTGCAGCACAAGGCAGGTGGATAGCAGGGACCCTTGGGGAGGATCAGGTGCTGATAATGGCCAGGTGTATCTGGTGTTTGGCTTTTGCTGGACAGCGGGGCAGGTGCTGGCAGACAGCATCGAAATGCCAGGGCGGGGGAGCAGTGGGCAGCCCGGAGTTGGGGCAGGACAGGGGTCCCTCCACAGGGACCAGGGGCTCCAGGTTGTTTCCTAGTCAGGAATAGCTGGCCAAGGAGGCACAGCCCCAGATGGGCACTGGGTCTGGGAAGTGGAGAGCCAGGGCTGGTGCCAGACCAAACTGTGCCCGAGTAGAGTCCCCACCAGCATGGTGGTCACAGGAAGGCTGGCCAGGGCCAGGCCCCTCCCCAGTCTTACCCAGGGCCATCTTGCTGTCTGGATCCAGGGCAGCCCCCACCCTGCGGGGCACAGGTGACCTGGAGGGACAGCAGAGCCCACGGCTCACAGGCCCTCCCGTCCCCAGGAGATGGTGGACTGGTTCAACGCGCTCCGGGCTGCCCGCTTCCACTACCTGCAGGTGGCCTTCCCGGGGGCCAGTGACGTGGATGTGAGTGGCCTCCCTGAGGTCTCAGCGGTTGGGGTGGGGGTGTGAGCATCTCAGCCCTTGTGCCCCCCAGGGTGGGTTGGGATGACCTAGGGCATATGTGGTCCCAGCTGCCCCCAAATGACCACAGTCACCCTCTGTGCAGTGGACAGAAAGGGTGGGCAGCAGGGTGAGGGAGGAAGGCAGGTGGCCATGCCAGATGTGGGATGGAGCATGTCGGGGTGGGTGCCCCTGACCCCAGGGGGGCTGAGCCCAGCTTCCAAGGGGACAGGCCGGATGCCCCCCACCCTGTCTGACCACTCGGTCCCCCCAGCTGGTGCCGAAGCTGTCCCGAAACTACCTAAAGGAAGGCTACATGGAGAAGACAGGGCCCAAGGTGGGTCTGCAGGGGTGGGTGGCTGCCCAGGCCACACCCAGGTCCACTGTCTTCCTGCTTCTTCCTGGGGTGGGGCTGCAGGCCACAGCCAGGTTGGGGCAAGGTGCAGGGCAGTGAGGCATGGGGTGGAGCACAAGCTCCCTCCCAAGTTCCATGCTGAGTGGCCAAGCTCTGAGTAGGTCCCCAGGGGTGCCTGGCCGACAGAGACCACGCCTTGGCTGCCCTCCCCCACAGGGAGCCTTTTGGTCCACAGGTGGGACAGGTACTCCTGCGGAGATGCAGGTGTGGGACCTATGAAGCTGGGTGGTGGGCGGAGCATGGCCTAGTGAGGCCTGAGGAGGAAGTGAACAAGTGAGCGAAGGCTCTGCTGGTCACCTGCCCTCTGTGACCACAGCAAACAGAAGGCTTCCGGAAGCGCTGGTTCACCATGGATGACCGGAGGCTCATGTACTTCAAGGACCCCCTGGTAAGGAGGGTCTGCCTGCCGCCCCTCGGGAGATTTGCAGCCGGCAGGTCTTGCTGCTGATGAGGGGGAGGCTCATCTCCCAGGGTCCTGGCCCCAGGCCACACCCAGCTCTGAGGACAGACAATGGACATGAAGAGGCAGCCCTGGAGACCTGCCGGGTCCCTCCCTGCCTGTGGGCTCCAGGGACAGGAGGTGCCCACTCCCAGCTCCAGCTTGGCCCCTGCAGGATGCCTTCGCCCGAGGGGAGGTCTTCATTGGCAGCAAGGAGAGCGGCTACACGGTGCTGGAGGGGCTCCCGCCATCCACCCAGGGCTACCACTGGCCACACGGCATCACTATTGTCACGCCGGACCGCAAGTTCCTATTCACCTGTGAGACGGAGGCAGACCGGAGGGAGTGGGTAGAGGCCTTCCAGAAGGTGGTGGACAGGCCCATGCTGCCCCAGGAGTATGCAGGTGAGGGCAGGCACAGGGAGGCTGTGACTGCACCCTTCAGCCAGTCTTCTGTGCTGGATGGGGGTCAGGTGGGTGGCTTGGGAGAGCCTGGAGGAGTGTCCACCCTGATGTGGGTGGACACCTGTCTCCGTCTGCAGTGGAAGCCCACTTCAAGCATAAGCCCTAGCAAGAGACGTCCGAGGACCCTAGACTCACATGACTGGCTGGCAAGGAGGTGGCCAGCAGCCCCAGCCAGCCCTGCTGTTGTAGCAGCACAGCGTGGCCAGGTAGGGCCTGAGCTTCAGCCACTAGGACATGAGTCTGGAACCTCATCGAAGGCGACCCCGGCCCCGTCAACACTGCTGCTGACAGAGCCTGGCCGACCCACACACCTGAGCCCCCAGCCCCCAGCCAGAGCGGCCCCACTAACTCTGTGTTCCCAGCCCAGCCAGAGGTTATGTCAGGTCTTGGAATGGGACCTCAGCTGGGCTGCTGGGGACTAGGGTCTGCCGCATGCGTCCTTTCCCCTTCCCACCTCAACAAGTATTTAATTGAGCACCTGCTATGTGTTGGTCACGGGTCCTCCAGGGAATGTGTGCACACAGGCCCTGCCCGCTGGAGTCCCAGCACTCTGGGTGCCTGGCCTTGGCCGGGAGGGCCCGTGCTTAGGCACCGAGTGCCCAGCTCAGTGCTTGGCCTGGTCAGTGACCCATGCCCACCAGCCCTGGCCTTGTGGTTTTTGATCCCCTGGGCGGGGTGCCCCAGTTGGGCCCTGCTTGCTGCTGGCAGGCCAGTAGTTAAAGCCACCCTGTATTTATTTCTCACCTGATCTTTTCCATGCTGCATCCTGGTCACCCAGGATAGTCAGGGTGGAGCATGCAGTGGGGATGCACCTACCCAGGGGAGCTGCGGGAAGTCTCCTGAGCTAGTGTTCTGCGCCCACGTCGCGTCCTGGAATAAAGTGTGGCTCTGGCATGGTCCCTTCTGTGTGTAGGTGGGGAGGGGCCAAGCTGGCAGCTTCCACTTGGGTAGAGCAGGACAGACTGCCATGGTAGGCCTAAGATGGAGCCTGACCCCTGCTGGACCCCAGGGCCTCCAATGTCCATGTTCCCTGGGCCTGAGCTGGGGGCACCTGACCATCATACAGGAACACTCCCAGGGCCACAGTGGCCACACTGGCCCTAGCTATTTCAAGGGCTGTGGCAGGGCCCTGGGGTGCCCCTTTCCTGGCAGGCCCTCCAAAGCCTTCAGCCCTGGGGTCTCTGGCAAGGTCTGCAGCTCCGATGGGGTGCAAGGGTAGGGGGCACAGCTGGCCCTGCAGCTGTTTCTCAGAGGAAACGTCTGGGGAGGTAGAAGCCATCCAACCCCCATCTGGGGTCCCCCATGTGGCTGTTCTAAAGATGACACTGGCAGTCCCCTTACCCCCACCTCCTCAATGACTGGGGTTCACCTGGGGCAGTGCTCACCAAAATGACTGGCTGCAGCTTCTGCAGATGCTGGCCGGGTTCTCCAATGCAGAGTCCTGGGTCAGAAACCAGACCCAAGCCCTGTGTCTGCACCACCACAGGGCCAGCCCAGACACCTCCACTGTGGACGTGCGGTGTGCAGGCAGTGTTTGTGCACGTGTTCACCTGTGCGTACACACACATTGCCTTGTGCATGGCTATGTGCACAGGAACCTATGTGTTCTACCGAGGACACTGGCAACATTTTTAAAAGAAAGCACGGCACATGTCTGTAACTGCTGGAGAGATGAACTGTTCAGCGGCTGCTGGAAACCACAGCCCCCGGAAAGGCGTCACTGGGTTCTGGGCACAGGCCCTCAGCAGGCGATGCAGCACTGCTGTCTGGACCAGGGCCTAGGTGTGGTGCTGTCTCCCTGCCACCCGGTCGCAAGCACACCGATGCCACAATAAACTTGGCGCTTTACTTGGATGCCTCCTGAGGTTTGTGGGAGGAGAGAGGTCACCTGTAGAAAGGTGGTATGGACAGGCGTGCTTCCACAAACGGAATTTGAATTCTGCTTACATTGGTCCCCAGTACATCACCTGTGGGATGTAGCTTATGGGTTCAAAACCAGCATCTTAGCAGAATGGGGTGCTCCAGCCCGGGCCTGGGGACCCCGCCTGGCTCCTTCCATGGCTGTTCCCCCACTGTCCCAGTCCCCTCAGGGCTGCCCTGACACTGTCCCCAGGGAAGTCTGGTGTGGCCTGCACCCCACAGGCCTGCTCTCTGGGGCTGTGACACACATCACCTGGCGGGTTTGATTTCAATAAAATCACACATGTATTTCTAAAATCATAGCCAAGTGATTTCGGCCACCTTCCTGACACTGGCACATCATCTACACACATGCAACCTGACAGATCCAAGTGAACAGCACGGCACACGCTTCCTCCTGGGCTCAGCCACACCCAGCACTGAGGCTCTGGGCCTCCCCGGGGCAGGGTATGGCTGGGCACAGAGAGGCCCCACTGCTGCGCCCACCCACCTGGGCCCACAGCCAGCCCACACCAGCCCCAGCTCACCAGAAAGGACCAGTGCTGCACAGGCCAGTAAAAAGGATTTATTTATACTCAACAATGACAACAAACCTCCCTTTAAATTCCATTTTTACAGTAAATAACGTATTTTTTCCTCCTTCCCATGCATGGTCACTGTGTATTAATCTACAACTCTTATTTTAATTGTGAAAAAATAAAGTGTTGCCCTTTATAATTATACTGGTAATGTGGAATATTATCAGTGATAAAGGACATATTTTCTCATTCCTGGTTATTTGGTTAACACCTAAAACATTAGGTTAGAGAAACCCATCACCCAGTAAAAATAAATACTGCATCACAAAGGGCATGTTCTGTGGCACCCAGGGGCCAGCAGGCTGTGGCTCCGGACTTGTGCAGAGCAGCCCAACTAGCCACGCTGGGTGGAGTGGGGCCCATGGCCTGGAGGGTCAGCGGGCGTGGGGATGATCCCACAGCTCACGCACTTCACTGGGGACAGGGACACCATGACTACAAAATGACCCCATGTTTTGAAACAAAAATATAAACAAGAAACCCGCTCTTGCTCGTGGGCTTGCAGGAGGCCCCACTCAGTCCACGCGTCTGGTGACTGCTGCCTCCTAGCCCACACCATGGGCTGTGCTGGACACCAGGTCACCGGCCCCCAGCCCTCCCCAAGGAACCAGAGACAAGGAAGGCAGAGGGAGGCGCAGCAGGGCCTGTGCTTTATTGTGGATCGAGCTGAGGGGACACAGTCGGCTGTAGGAGTCCAGGCCTTGCGCTGTGTCCCAGCCACACAGCGCCAGGCCACCGTGCAACCCTCCGCCACCTTCCATAAATAGGGACAGACACTGCAGGGCAGCCCTGCCAGCTGCAGCCCTGCCAGCTGCAGCCCAGGAGCTGCCAGGTATGAGTAGCCTCGCTGTGGGCCTCGAACCTGAGGCCATCTGGGCGGCGCTGACCAGGCGTCTCCACGTGGCGGCGGCTCAGTCCAGCTCGATGGGGCTGCTGTCATCTTGGCTTTCCTCTCCCTCCTCCTGCTCCGAGGAGCCCATGAGGCTGCTCAGCAGGTTTCCTGGAGGGAGATAGCGCAACAGGGATCAGGCACCGACCCCAAAATCCACCGTCACAAAGGGAGCTTGGGGGGCGCACAGCCCCCAACCACCGAAGCTGCAGACATAACACCAGCACTGCTCCCACTGCCTCTGTGCAGCTGTCACCACTGCCACTGCCAACGGGTGACAAATACATACAGGGAGTGCAGCATGGCTCTCCTAGTTATTGCACGACATACAGAATCCCCCTCACCCCCACTGCACCCTGCCCCATGCACACAGCCCAGCTCTGCCAGGGAGGAGATAAGCTGGGAGAGCCAGGTGATGCTGGGGACACTGCACTGTCATCTCAAGCCAAGGTGCCAGCTTGGGAGAGCAAGGAGGAGCCAGAGCAAGAGTCTCTGGCTCACACTCTCCGCAAACAAACTCCAGAGAAAGAAAAAACCCTGTTAATTACAGGGAAACAACTGTTAACCTCAACACAGAAGCCACACCCTGTAATACAACCTCGTAGTCTGTCCAGACCACAAAGGCACACATTGAGCTGAGCACAGTGATGCATTCCTGTAATCTCAGCACTCTGGGAAGCAGAGGCAGGAGGATTTCAAGTTCTCATCCAGCTGGACAATATAACAAGATGCCGTCGCAAGACAAAAAAATAAAAAAAGTCTGGGGACACAGCTTAGTCCAAAGGCTCTAGGTTGAATCCCCAATATCATAAAAAAAAAGCAAACAACCCCCACAAAACCAAAGCAAAACAGCCCCCACAACAACAAAACGCACACCTGGCCAGCCCCAAGACCCTGAGTATGGGGGTGGCAGCTCCGTGTGCAATCCATGGCAGTGCTGCCAGTCAGCACAAGGCTGTGGGCGAAGCTGTGCCACCTGATGCCTCATGCTCCATCAAAGAAAAGCACAAGGTATGGCCCCAGGCACTGCCTGGTGCACCTCAAGGAGTGAAATGCTCAAGATGCACAGCGTGTGAGCCGTTCTTGCTCCAACGATCACCTGGCTGACTGGTGGAAGGAGATGCCTGTGCTTGGCTCAGAGCTCCCACCAAGGGGCACCCAGCAGATCAGACCCCAGCTGTTTCAGGAGAGGGCACGTGAAGCGTGACTCAATTTAGGGGAATCGCCAGTGGGCCTTGAGGTGGCCAGAGGGAGCGGGGGTGCCCGAGATCTCACCTAGCAAACCTCCGTAGGAAGATGTCTGCTTGGGTGGCACGCCAAAGAACAGCTGTCCTATCCTGTCCAGGTACTGCAAGAGGCAGGCAGTGGTCAGCGAGCAGAGGTAGGTTGCCCTGCTGCACGGGCTGGGGCAGGATGCCCTGCACTCATCCCACGCCTCAGCCCAGTAGTGAGAACCCTCACCTCGTTGTACATTGGGTCCCTCCGGAGGGACGGCTGGTACTGCTCGCACAGTACTGTGAACACTGCCAGCTTGCCGCTGCAAGGGATAGAGACAGAGACGTGCTGTGCACAGCAAAGAACATGCTGCCCTCCACATGTGCGCACACACCCTACAGACAGCGCTGGATGGCCATGCCAACCCACCCGCTGGACACGCAATGCCTGCTGGATACTCACCCATCCACGGCCAAAAGCAGGAACCAGATGAAATTGAGCAGGGGCTGAACGAACGGGGGACCATCCTCAATCGACGGGTGCTTCTGTGTGTATGTCGTGAATACCACCAATGCACTATTTTTGTTTTTTAAACACAGAAACCTGGAAATCAGAATACTCCATTGGGTGCCATGCTGATAAAGACTTGGGTCCTATGGATGCTCACATCAACACTGACCCCTCAAGCCCCTGCAGGCGTGGAGGGCCTCAGTCAACAGCATCCTCATAGGCCAGGACACCACCCAGTCCCCTTGAGCCTGGCAAGGCCATGGGGGTCATCTGGCTGCTGAAGTACAGGAGGCCTGTGTGCTATGCCCCTCGCATGCATGGCAAAGCCACAGGGGCACTCAGCTTGGGAAGATGTGGTGTGCTGCAGGTCCACAGAACTGCAAAATGGGGCCAGAACATGGGCCCATCTGTGGGATACAGTGAACCACAGCATCTGCCTGGACCCTGCTTGCATCTGCCTACATGAGGCTAGCACAGGAGGCCAGGTAATGCCCAGCTCAGCCCAGAGGAGTAACAGCTGCCCTACATGTAGCAAAGCCAGGTCAGGGTCTCTTGGGTTAAAAAGATTTTTTTTCCCCTGCAGTACTGGTAACTGAACTCAGGGTTTTCACACTGAGCTACATCTCCCACCCATTTTTATTTTGAGCCAGGGTCTTGCAAAGTTGTCCGGAATGGTCTTGAATTTCTGATCCTCCTGCCTCAGCCTCCCAGAATGCTACAATTATAAGTGTGTACCACTATGCTCAGCTGCTCTTCTTTGATGTCATATGTGTCAGCATCAAGGACATTCAGGGCTCTGTGGTTCTAGGTCCAGTAAAGTACAGAGTTTGTGCCCAAATACCAGTGTATCTTCACACAGCAAACCTCCCCACTGCTGAGGGTGGTAACCACAGGAGAGTGTGATCACCCAGCAAGGCAGGGGGCAGGGTCAGCTCTCCAGCAACCTGTCCCTCACTGCTGACATCCAGAAGGCACCTGCATCGGGACGTGCCCTGAGAGAACTGTCAACTTGGCACATGTTTCAGCACTTTCAGGGGAGACCACGAGAAAGGAAGCTGGGGACAAGGAGCTTGGCAAGAGCAGATCACAGGGTACAGAGGGCAGGCCTTGTCACCCCACACAGACAGCCCAGGGTGTGAAAATCAACACGGGGGACAAATGAGCTCTGCGTTTGCTCTGGGAACCCACACTTCTCCACCCAGCATGGCACAGCAAGGGCAAAGCCCAACACAGTCATGCTGAACCTACTGTAGCACTGCCTGGGCCACAAACATGTCCACCTCGCTGCGGAAGCCCCGGGCAGTGGAGTACTCCACCAGCATATTGGCACAGCCCTCGCCATCTGTGGAGTGCAGGAAGTGATACCGAGACTCACAGTAGTTCTGTTCTGCACAGGGAGAAGGGAACACAAACACAGACACGTGATGAGAAGATTACAGAGATGCAAAAGGCTCTACCCCTCCTGATGCTCTCCTACTGCTTCCCCACTTCACTTAGACACAGATAAGGTGATCTGCTGCACAAGTCAGTCACCAGCTTCTTGATCTCAAAAACCAAACACCAAACAGTGGAATGGGGGAAGATGTTCTGCCAACAGAGACCTCATTTCTACAAGCTGAGGGAGGTGCATGTCAGCCAGCACTAAGGGCGCGACTGAGAGAACAGCCTAGCCTATCTAATACTTGACTGATCTGATTACTCAAATGGGACTCTGCGGAAAGATGTTTCCGTCTCTGCCCTGTGAAGACAAACAATGCACTCAAAACTGAGCAATATTATATCTGAATGGCAATTCCCCCACAATCCTAAGACCTGTGCCAACTCAAAGAGCATCGTGAATCTCCACAACAGCAAGGACAAGACTGTGTTGATTATTTTTCCTGCCAGCCTTGAAGATTCCACGCTAGGCCCTCAAATCCTACAGCCTCTCCTCCTGGGAGGGGCTGTCCCAACCCCAGACAGCTCTATGAATGCATCTCCTACCATCATGTCCTGGCAACAAAGGGCACCACTCTGCCTAGGAAGCACCCCTCCACTTACCTGGGAGGCACCTCCCCGCGTAACCTAGAAGGAGCTCCTTCCCCAACTTTGAAGGCACTCAGATGCTGTGCAGTCATGATGCCTGTCTACTTGTCATTTGTTGCCCTGCACGCTCCTAAATTAACCTTTTGGTTTCTGGGCATCTACATAAGAACAAACCCCAGAGCATAACTATGACAGAGCCTCATCCAAGGCAGCAGTACACTAAGGCGGTCTCCTTCCCAGTGAGTGCCAAGGATGGCCCAAGGTACAATCCTGTCCCAAGGGAAGCCATGTCACTGGCTGGTCTCAGGCACGTCTCCAACGCACAGGGTCTGCCTACGCAAAATGGACTTGGTCTCCTGGCCGTGGAGCTCCCTGTGCACAGCCAGGAGTCCTGGCTCAGCGAGCTAGCGAAGGCAGAGGCCCTGGTGGCCATGCGCCCCACCCTGAGGAAGCTGAGAGACGCAACAGGCAGGATAGGAGCCCTGGCCGAGGCAGGTGTGAGACACTCTCCTGGTGTGGAGTGGGGTCCAGCACAAGGCTCCTCCCTGCACTAGGACCTTTACACTCCCAACTTGTGTGCTCTCAGCAGGAGATGCCAGGTACCTGTGAGGAAGGAAAGGGCAGCACCGCCATACCAGCCTAGAATACACTGTCCCTCCATCTGCTTCATCCCAAGACCAGCTTCTCCCACCACAAGAGTCCCGAAGCTGTTGTCACTTAGCCAGCCTGGCTCATTTCTGGAGGAAAGCCACACTCAGCTGTACCTCTAGGATTCTCGGGGATCCAGGGGTACTTGTTGACCTGCAGGCCCACTGTGTACCTCCACTGCTGCCCCGCCACCACTGCCTTCATTCCCTGTGGCCCTGTGCCATGTGTGATGTAGGCTGGACAGCCCATCATGCTGACAGCCCTACATGCTGACAGTTGTAGGCAAAGGACTGCTGAGAAGCGAGGGCACCAACCTTCCAGGGCCAGGCAGGACACAACACCAAACTTCCTCAGGAAGGACACTGGAGATAAAGCTCTTTCAACCCCACTCAACAACATGTCATGCAAGTCACAACAAACATCTGTTTAACACTTCTTCCTGCACCAGGCAGAGACTTGGGGCTGAGCACACCAACACCACCCACAAAGTGGGAAACCCACAATCCCATCCTATTGGCTGAATAATCCCACAAATGAGGTGCTAAGGAAAAACCTGGAGCAAGATGCCATTAGAAGGCTGGCCTAGGCAGGGTGGGAGGGCCATGGGGGTGGCAAGCAGACTATACCATTTCATACTGTAGTAGGAATGCCTGGTATGGCCACTGAGAAAAGCTGACCTGCCCCAGCACAGGCAGCCTGACCTCACAAGTGGGGTGGGGTGCTGATGATGCACAGAGGTTCCTGGGGGAGCCCAGGGAGGATGGCTGCTGGCCCATGATGGCAAAGGACCCTGCTGTTCCCACCTCCAGACTCCCAAACCTACCTTTCCACAGTGTGAGGGCCAGAAGCTGGTGGAGCCGGGGATGTCCCAGTTTCCCAGATCCTCCACTGGACCACTTCAGGGCTCTGGACACAAATGCTACTCGCTCCGGAGAATTTGGGTCCATCAAACTGAACACTTTAGCCAGGTTTTCTGAAAGTCACACAGACAGACTCTCACCAGAGGAACCAGTGGGAGCCACCCTATAATGGAAGCAAGGTGCTAGGTTGGGGTTCAAAGCAGCAGAAGCCAACAGGGGCCCCTCTTTGTCTAGTGGGCAGCTCACTCAACAGGACAGGCCTCCTTGCCAGCTGGCAAGTATCTATCACCAGCACAAAGGCAGGTCAACTACTGTCAGCGCAGAGGTTCCTGTGCTGGCAAAGGACAGCATTACCTATTCCCCAACACACACACACACACACACACACCCGCCCTCAAAGCATGGCAGGCCCAGGTGCACTGTGCACTGGAGACCCAAAGCACAGGTGGCAAATGGAGTGACATGACTCCACAACTGCAACAGTCACAGGCAGAGGCTCCTGCACAACTGCACAGCAACGCAGCAGGGGCCTCACCCAGCAGCTCATCAGCCACATCCACTTCTGCCTTCTCCAGGGACTCCAAGACCAGCATGGATAAGTCTGCTGCACTGTTTTGCTACAAAACATGTAAAAACAAGAATCACAGGTTTAGAAACAAAAGCTTGATACCTTCAGAACAACTGGGACACAGCTGGCAGAATCTCCTTCTACAGACAGCAGCTGTGAACACACCTGTCACCTGGCCCAAAAGCAAACAAACGGACACACATGCAGAGCCCCACCTAGAGAACATGAAGGGCCTCCAGAATGCCAGGGTCCAGATGATGGGCCCTTGAGAGTAAAACATTTGCTGTGGGGGTACAAGGACCCTCTGCCACCTGCGGCCAGAGCTAGGGACACTCCGATGTTTTATACCAGGCCTCTTTTGGTCCCTCTTACTTCGCATCTTCTGCCCAGAGCAGAAAAGGATGAGTAGGAAGGGCCAAAGTGCTTACCTGTCCATGACTGAAGAAAAGCAATGCTCCTGAGTACATGAGCTCTCGGGCTTCTGCGTGTTTGCTCTGGGACATGTACCTGTAAAGAGGGACAGAGTGAGCAGCAAGCCCAGGCGTGCACTCATGTAGAGATTAACCATGTGGCAAGACTCTATGAAAGTGAGAACTCCCGGGAGGATGGAAACTGAGGTATTCCCAGGAGACATGCGCTACCTTGCCAGGCAGGCCCTCCCCAAAGCCAGATACACAGCCAGAACCTCCCCCAGGGGGCCTGTCCTGTAGCCTCCAGCCCAACTCCTCCTGCCCTGACAGCCCTGTGGGAACCTCTGGACACACAGGGCCTGCTGTTAGTGGCATCAGGCCCACCTGTGCCCAACAGGGCAGAAGCCAGAAGGCAGCCACTCCTGGGAGCTGCTGCCAGGTTTCAGGAGGAGCAGAGGCCTGGGGACTACAGGGGCAGGTGCTCATGGAGAACAATGGAGGCAGATGCCTCCACATGGCAGCTGAGACAGGATGGGGTCCTACAGAGGTGATGTCAAGTGTGTGACCCAATCCTGGAGCCCCTCTGTGATGGCGGCCACTCGGCCAGGTAAGCCCAGCACATCTTCCTTCATGGCCAGTAGCATCTTGTCACCAGAGAACACCATGCCAATGAGCACCCTCTGTTTCTGAGCCCAGACCTCCCAGACAAGCTGGGTTATGAGCAACTGAAGAGCATCTTGCAGTAATGCAGGGGACAGACATGGCAGACCGCAACGCCAACACTCACACAGGACAGGCCCACAACCACAACCCTCTACCACTCAGGGGGCACAGGTCCCCAACAGGAGAATCCATGTTGTGGCTGCTGGAGTGGGGCCAGATGACAAATGCCTACACATGGAGAAGGAAGCCATGGTCAGCCTGCAGGTCCCAGGCACCTCAGGTCCTGTCAGCCTACTCTCAATGGTGGTCAGACACCAAGGGGCAGCCCCCCCTCAGGCTGGCTGGCATCTGACTCAAAAAATATAAGCTGCCTGGTCTTGGCTGTCATGGGGCTATTGTCAGGCAATGCCTCAGACTACACTGGAAAAGCACAACCTTCACTCAGAGGTACACAGCCTTACCTGCATTCTTGAGAACACAGAACCATATGCATTTATGCTCTCGGACAAGCACTGGTTTGGTTCTGCTCATGTGCAACTCCTGAAGAGCTCTAGACTCTCCTGAGCCTTAGTGAGACAACACCTCTTACAATTTTAGACAAGGAAAAATCACTTCTTGAGAGACAAATGAACCAATTCCTGGGATATGGAAATCTGCCTCCCCAGGATGGTGCCAGCAATCACAGCAGCACCTTCAGCCTGTCCCACACACTGTTCTGCAGCCAGTACTCTTCATTACAACCTTCAACATGATGGGCCCTATCTTGTCAAAGTCACCTATTGCCAGATCAAGATGAGCTTGTGAAAGACAAGTGGCTTAGGTAATGAAGAAAACAAACTTCTTTTTCTATCACAGAGTTCCACAAGCTGGGAGAGATTTTCAATTTTGGGTGATTAAGCAGGATGGTGTCTTCCAGGCCCAGGGAGAGCTGAGAGGAACGGACTTTCTCAGACACCAAAACCTCTCCACACAGCCTACCCTCCATGTGCTGAGCACAGAGGACCCCATGAAGGCACTGACCTGTCTACATGGCCTGTCCTCCACATGTTGAGCCACAATGGACGCTGGGCAGACCTGGACCCATCCATGTGGCCTGTCCTCCACGTATTGGGCCATGCTGGACAGAGTACAAACCCCAACTCTTCCACAACAGCCTCTCCTCCCTCTGCTGAGTCACAGTGGACACTGTGCAGACCCCAATCTGTCCACGTGGCCTGCCCTTTACACCAGACACTGTGCAGACATCTGAAAGGTCCTTTTACATGCTGAAATTGGCCCTGGCATCCACTGGCAAAAGACATGTTAAAATGATGTGCTTTGGTGCCCTCTGCCAGCCAAAAATGGACCTAAGACAGCTACACCTTATCCACAAAGCAATGTGTCTGTGCAAATACTCATTTATTTTGGTCTTACTGAAAGAAAGTAAAGCCAGGCATGGCGGTGCACACCTGCAATCCCAGTACTTGGGAGGCTGAAGCAGGAGGATCAGCACAAGTTAAAAGCCAGACAGGGCTACAGAGGGAGTTCAAGATCAGCCGGAAGTGCATAGGGAGACCCTGCCTCAAAGAAAGGGAAGGAAGAAAGGAAGAAAGGAAGAAACGAAGGAAGGAAGGAAGGAAGGAAGGGGGAGAGAGCATGAGAGTGCGTGAGCTCGAGAACACGAGGGCGGGGGTGAAGAGAGAGGGGAAGGGGGAGAGGGAGGGAGGGAGAGAGAAACAAAAGGAGGGAGGGCAGGGGATTTAGTTCAGTGTTTCTGCCACCTGCCTTGCAAGCTCAAGGTCCCAAGCTCAATCCCTGTACCAAATAAATAAATAAATGGGACAGCAAGTAAGCAAGCAGAACATAGCAATCAAGCATTAGCACTAGAAATGAATGCAATACAGAATCAGACGACAGACAGAGCTCTGGGCATCACAATGATGGAAGCTTGTCTGTGGTGGATCAACTGGAGACTGAATGTGTAGTACTAAGATCAGTCAGTATTGAGTACTGAGCATCCAGTGACAAGGATGTTCTATGACCAACTCCCTGTACCTACAGAATAACTGTGAGCACACTAGGCCCTGATGCAGGGCTGCCATGCTAGATGCTACTTCTTTGAGGGCCACAGCTCCACCTCCTAGGCACAGCTGTCTCAGGCACAGGGCTGCAATGAGTGAAGAACATGTGCTGTTCGAAACCTTTCTTTGTGTGACTTAAGAGGCAAAATAAGGGTATAGGCTATAACCAACAGTTTACACCATTCTCAGGAAGAATCATAGAAGGCTGACCACTTTCCACGTGGCTCAGTGATGGGCAGAGGCTGTAGGAAAAGGCCATGCCTGACACTGTGGGTCACTGCCTCCTAAGCTGGTTTCTCCCCAACATCAAGATCTTCAAAGCGACTGTAAAAACAATGCAGGTAAATGAAGGTCCCTGGAAGCCAGGATGGTGGCACTGAGAATACTCTGGCAAAGCTGTCCCCAAAGCCACAGATTTTTTGGCTTTGCCAGGTACTAACAATCCAACAGGCCTATGAAACAGATCTTGTCTTCCTCCTGCCAGAGACAAGGCTAGAGAGAGAAGGTGACCGACCTACCACCACCAGCACCACGGACCCAGTGGAGCAGCCTCCAAGGTGGTCAGGTGCACCAAGATCATGGCCCAGCTTTGGCAGGACACATCCAAAGCGAGCAATCTGCTGGGCTGCCCCCCGCTTCCCCTCCTCCACCTTAAACTGCTGTGGGCTGGAAGTGAATTAAAACAGTACTACAATACACTACGAAATACCACACAGCAATAGAAATAATTTACATGCACACAGATCAAAGTCTCCAGAAAACACAGCCCTAATCTGTGGTGACCTCGGTAGGCAGGAACTGCCAAGAGAATAGGGAAAGACAAGAAACTGCCTATGTCTCCGTAGTTTCACATGTACATTTAAATGTCAATGCTCATCAAATTATACCCTTTATGTAAACACTAAAATATAGAACTTTTTTTTCCCCTCTTCAGTAATGGGAATTGAACTCAGGATTTTGTGCTTGCCAGGTAGGCATGGCACCACTGAGCTACATCTCTGGCCCTGTGAACACTAAAATATAAAATTGCAAATATACTCTAATAGAAAGACATTAATAAAACTAGTGTAATTTGGGGATTCTCACTTCTCCAGTGGCCGGGACCATGGTGTGCCCCAAGCCTGGCTGTGGCCTACATGGAACCTGCCCAGAGGATACAGGCTATGATTAAGGTCATGCTCACCTCCTTGGCCTCCTGGGTGGAACAGTGAAGTGACAACTGCCCTGGGAAGCACAGCCCAGAGGCAATGAAACAGGCAGAACTTGTCCATTACCCTGTCTTGGGCTGAAACACACCCTCAACAAGGGATATGTCACTTAAACGCTAAAATAAGCAAATCTCTAGTCACAGAAGGGCTAGTTTAAGTCAAGGAACACTTAATTTTGGGAAGACCCACTTTTGCTGATTAATCACCGGGCAAATATTTACACACAAAACCCAAGAACAGCAGACACCAGGGCAAATTATGAGGGCGGCAAAGTATGTTGAGTTACAACTGGCTGCTGTTTGGAGGCATGGTGCTACAGTCAACATGTGCACCTCACATCTCAGACTTGGAACAGGATGACTTAAGGGGCTGTCATGACCAGGGCTCTGGGAAGTTTATTTCCAGTGACAGCTCACCTTCCATTAAAACTAAAAGTCCTAACTATGAAGCAGTAAAGACTTGTTTCTGCTAGAAGCAAAAAATCAGTTTCTAACTAAATAGAAGAGCAAATCTTCTCCTAAACAATTAACTGTGCTTCCAAAACAAGGCAGCGTTCACCAAACCACATAAAACCGGATATATCCTGACTAGTTTGTATTTAGTGTCACGGTTTAGTACACAGAAAACCCCGGAACAATACTGTTGTTCAGGTCATTTGAGATCAAGGCATGGATTAATATCTCACCTAACCCTATAGTCAGTTGACTCTAAACCCAGGGCTCCTAATCCTGGCCAAATCAGAGGTCTACGAACAAATGGTCAATCTCAGAAAACAGGATGTTAGGGCTTTCTTCCAGACTTGTGGCAGTCAGGTTGAGGGCCTGACACAAGCGCTTCCCAATCCCTAGCATAAAGCACTGTTCGGGGAAGGACAGTATGCAGTCTTTGAGGCTGATGACTCCCACAAGAGGCCTGGACCGAGCATCCTTTGTGTCCATTCCATTTGCTTGCCAGGGGCTCTCTTAACTCTGCAGACTCCAAATGTAGTAAACAAGTACTCTTTCCTCACCCCAAACACCAAGAGAAACGGCCTACAGAGACTCAAGATGATCTGACTTGTGCTTATAAAGCTCCAGGCATTGAAACCTCTGTGCTAATGGACACTCCTCCCTGCACCTTTGTCCTTCCTCAGAATATACCAATCCAGGAAGAGGCCCAAGGAAGTGCCTATGGGAAATGTCCCACCGTGCTGGAGGACCCTGGGTGATGCAATGGGTAAGTGGAATGTCGCACTGACCTATGAAAGGCTGTGCAGTTCATGCGGGCCATCTGGAATTTTGCTGTGAATCTAAAACTGCTCTTAAAAACATTTTTTTTTTTTAAAAGCGGGTTTAAATGGAGGAAAATAATGGAGGAAAGGCTGGATCCAAAGCGTTGACACTGAACCCCTCAGTAGGAGTCGGGCAGTCAGGACACGGGCACAGGGCAGGATCGCCCTCCTAAACACAGTCCAGGTGACTGCGATCTAACACTAACTACCTAAAGTCCAAAAGAGGAGGTGCAGTTACCATCGACTAAGGATGGTAACCTGGACTGGAGAGAGGAAGACCAAGGAAGATGGAGGCTGGGCTGGGGAAGAGAAAGATCAGTGAAAGAGTGGCAGAGCTAGGCGGGTGAGATTAAGCTAGAAAAGAGAAGGCAAAGGAACAAGGCGGTTAAAGCGAAGGCCAGGCCAAGAACGGGAAATCCACAGAAGGAGACTGCTCCAGGGAAGAAAAGGTTGGGCTGAGGAAAGAAAACAGGGAAAGCAGAGGCTGACCCCGGGAAAAGAGAGCCGGGAAGGAAACGTTAAGGTCGTGGAAGGAGAGGCCGGGCTGGGGAAGGGACGGCGGCCTGGGAAGTGGAGGCTGAAGGCGACCAGGCCGGGGAAAAAGCCAAGAAAGAAGAGGCTGACCTCAGGGAAAAAAGGTTGGAGAGCAAGAGGCCTGGCCAGGGGTGGGGAGCCTACAGAACAGGAGACTCAGGCGGAGAAGGAGAGGCCACGAAAAGAGGCCGAGCCTGCAGTTCAGCGCCAGCCGCCCCCACTCCAGCCGCCTGCGACAAGCAGCGGCAAGAGCCAATGAGCTCCCTGGGTTCCGCGGCACTGCCAATGTGCTGCGGCGACGGGGGCGGGGCCTCGGCGCAAGCTGCCGCCCGCGCCCACCTGAAGAAGAGGG